GTTAGATCTAGGTCCTACAAGTCAGGGTCTGAGGTCCTACAAGGCAAAGTTCATCACTCTGCCCACTCTGCACCATGCTGCAATGCAACATGGAGCAGATGCAATAAAAACTACCAGAGTCAGGAGAGAGAGAGAGAGAGAGAGAGAGAGAGAGAGAGAGAGAGAGAGAGAGAGAGAGATCAAATGGAACCATACATGCAAATAAAGCACTTCAAAATGTTATACAAATGTCAGCTGCTATATTATTTTCTCCTCCTACATGCCTATTGTCAACATTAGAACTTCAACTCTTCCAGGAAAGGGGTTATGCTGTAAATGTGTGTGTAAACGAGCTGGTACAGCACCATTTGAATAATGGCAATCTGGGCAGGGATGGTATATCTCCCTCTTCATTGCCTGCACAGATCTGTGAAATGGTACAGTTTGAGACTTCAGCAGTAGTAAAATCAATACATATTTCTATATGACCTTAAAAGTTGCAGAGAACTTTGCTCACAGTCAGGTGAGGTGGGTATTGAAAGATTTATCTTTATAGTTTTATCTTATACAAAGTGCTTAACACAGGGCCTAGAAGATAATAGGCACTACATAAATGTTTATTCCTTTCCCTTCCCTTGCCTTCCCTTACTTTGCCTTCTAGAAAAGGAAACTAGGATTCAGAAAGAATCCCAGGATTACACACACACACACACACACACACACACACACACAAACCAGGAACCGTCAGAAATAAGCTTTGGACCCAGATACCTTCTGACTCCAAATCCAAAGCCCTTTGCACTAACCTAAGTTAGCAAGCACGGGCAGAGAACCAGCAGAGAGGCATGCCTGCTGTCCAAACCTGATCTAATCCTGGGAGTTATAACTCCATGCATTAAAGCTACAAAGTGGTTGAGGGGGCAAGAGGAGAGAATAATGTTTCTGTTTTGGATCAACATTTGCTAGGGAGCCCAATATTTGTTTTCAGGTACCTGTTGCTGCCCAACTCGAGGGATGCCAGTGTCCTCACTATTTCTAAAAGACTCAGCCAATGCATCACTCAGAAAAGCAGATGGTTAATGCCCTCAGCTCTGGGAGGAATAGCCAAGTCCCTTCTACATCCACATCTACAAGGCCAGATGTGTTGAGTCCAAGAATTCACTAGAAAGAAAGTGTGGCTTAATGGAAGGAGCATTAGATTGGGATTAGGAGACCAGGACAAGGTAAGTCTGGAACTATCCAGCTGTATAACCTTGAAAGTCATCCTGCTCTGTGGATCTCACTTCCTTCATCTGGAAAAAGAAGGGATTAGATTAGAAGATGTCTAAAGCCCTTTCTGTCTCCAACAGGCTATGGTTCTATGCTTCTCACTTGCAAGATTAGGGGATAGAGGTAAAGTGCATGCATTATCTTATCCCAGGTATACTGTCTTCCATGTCTGATTCCAATGGTTTTATTTAAAACTTCAGGATTATCCAAAGTACTTCACAGAATTATTCAAAATTAAGGCAAAGACTTCAGGGGCTGGGACAAAAATCAAAAGAATAAGGTCTGACCTACCTTTGCTCTTTTCTTTTTTGTTAGGACAAGAAATACTATTCCCATTTTAAAAACAAAAAGAAGGGATCTAGTTTTTTCAACTCTTTTGAATAATGATAATAGCACTTTTTTATATAGCACTTTCAGGTTTGCAAACCTCATGCACACCTCATTTGATCCTAACAACAATCCTGGAAGGTAAGAGGTATTATTATCCCTATTTTATAGATGAGAAAACTGAGGCAGACAGAAGTTAAATGATTTGCCCCAGCATCATACAGCTAGTAAATGTCTATAGCAGAATTTGAACTCAGCTCTTTTGATTCCAGATCAAGAACTCTACACACTGTACTACCTACATGTAGATTAAAAATAAAATCTTCTCAATACCTAACTTGTCCTATTTTCTGTGCTCCAGCATTTGTTTTGGTAGGGACTCAAGGGTAGCCTCTTTTCAATAGGAGTAGTGGTCATTTATAAGAACTAAAAGGGGTCATAGGGAGAAAGTCTTTACAGCCTCAAAACATCTTTCATTCTTGTCCAGATTCAATTAGGAAGCCACATCTTTACCACAATGAGTCACTGCAAGGCTATAAATAAGAGAAAGATTGTACTCTTACTATATAGGGCATTGGCATAGTGCCATTTCTTACTATGGTGATTTCCATTGTCTTTATAAACTAGCTAGGTTCAGAGAGTTTTAGCAGAGTTGCTTCTAGGTGGTGAATACTTTGTCAACCAATAAAGAGTAGTCCTCGGATAAGAAAAATATATAGTGGGTGTCCCCAAAATCTTGGTTCAATCTTAAGGTATTAAAGCTCGAACCAAGATTGTGGGGATACCCTCTGCACGTAGTACTTAAGGTTTGAAAAAGTGAATTCATCACAACATACCTGTAGGGAAAATAGAAGTGCTATTACATCCATTTAACAGATAAGAAAACTGTGTTCAATACTTTTCCACTCAGAAAGAGAGTACTGAACTTGGAGTTAGGAGATCAAATTGTCAATTCTGGCTCTGCCATTTACCAGCTGTGCTAACTCAGGCCACTAGTTCAACCACACTGAGCCTATTGTCCCTCTTCTGTAGATGTGGAAGAGAAAGAACACCAGATTTAGAGCCAGAGGGCTTTGGTTATGAGAAATTTACTTGAGACCCATGTCGTCTTCTTTAAAAAAATATTTAATTACTTTTTTGTGGTGGCAAAGAATTGTGAATCAAGGGTCCACCAACTGGGAAATGGCTGAACAAGTTGTGGAGATGATTGTGATGGAACACTATTATGCCATAAGAAATGATGAGTGGAGAAAAATATAGCAAGATCTATATGAACTAATGCAAAGTGAAGTGAGAACAGCTACATCGTTGTGCACAGTAACAGCAATGTTGGAAAGATGATCAACTGCGAAAGACTTAGCTGCTCTGATCAATACAATGATCCAAGACAGTCCCAAAGGGCTCAAGATTTTAAAAAAAAATGCTATCCACCTCCAGAGAACTGATAAACTCTGAGTTCAAATCAAAGTATAGTTTTCTCAATTTTTTTTTTGCAATATGGCTAATATGAAATATATTTTGCATGATTTCATATGTATGATTGACATTATATTGCTTACCTTCTTGGTAGGTGGGGAAAGGGGTGGGAGGGAGGGAGAGAATTTGGAACTCAAAATTTAAAAAGAAAAGAATGTTAAAAATATATGAACTAATTTTTTTTAATTTTAATAACTTTTAATTTGGGGGAAGAATCAATGTATGTCTCTAAATGCCTACCTATCACTTAAAGAAAACCAGCAGGTGAGTATTGCTTTGGAAGAACAACCTAACCTGAACTAGAAGGAGTTCAGACCCAGGAGGCCTGAACCTCCCAGTCTGTCCACTAGCTTAGCATTATCCTGACTCTGAAGGTAGTCTAGCTGGCCACTTACAAACATTGCTTTGGTTTTCATGCAAAGAGCCATAGTCTAGGCAACAAAGAGTCCTGGAATTGGTAGGTTCAGCTTCCAACCACTTAAGGCCAGGCCAGGCCAGTCACTCAGCTTTTATTTCAGGGAAGGGGAGGAGGTTAAATGAGAACAAGAGACCCAGAGACAGACAGAGACAAAGAAAGACCAAGGAAGAGACGGGCAGAGACAGAGATAACCTGACCTCCTTCTCTGGGCTAACCTGTTTAAGAATTTAGGGAAAGGAGATGAGATTACCAGTGGCTATGAGGACTTGGGGAAAACCTCCTATACTTCCATGACTGCCTTCTTTCCTATTACTGCATGGCTCTGGCTGTAATTATAATCTGCTGGTAGAATTCATCATAAAAATCAGTTTGGCATGTTGTATCTTAAGTTCTGGGTAGAAAAAAAGGGGGGCGGAATAACAGAAAGAGAATTCAATCTGAAATATTAAGTAGAGACTTTCACTCACTGTGAGCGTCACCTTGGACAAGTCTCTCTCTTTCTGGAAATCATTTTGCTCATCTCAGGATCATTGTCTGGCTCTGGGATTTTGTGCTTGACTGGGGTGGGGAGGAGAGGGGAAAGAGAACTTCTCCATTAGAGGGAAGAGAGCCATTTAGTGAGTTCTGAAGGTGACTCAGCTCCCCCACCCAATATCACGACCAGGAAAAAATTTTCCCAGAGTACAGCATGGTATGTCTGATTTCCGTCTGAACTCTATCAAACAATCTCTCCAGAAGAGTCACAATTGCAGTGGTTGAAAAGGAAAGTCTCTGCAGCGAAACTGCCCAATCGGCAATTTGTATTTTCCCCCACCTCTCTCTTGTAATCCATTCTCCCTAATATCTTTCTCCCTAATCTCTCTCCCTCTGCCTGTTATCTCGTTCCCCAATTTCTTTTGCCCTAATAATTTCCCTCTCCAATCTCTTTTCCCATTACCTCTCTCCCCAATAATGTTATTTCTTCCTCCCATCTGTCTCTCTCTAACTGCATCTCCGTGTTTCTGTCTGTCTCTTTTCCTCACATATATACATAAAGGGATAAATACCGTACACACACACACACACACACACACACACACACACACACACACACAATTCCAAATTAGGCTTGATTATCTCTCACCCTTCTGCTGAGGAAACACTTTTGTAAACCACCTTAGAATTCTAGAGAAATAGGAATTACTATGAGAGCTAGAAGAGATCTATCTAGAGAGGATCAACTAAGTACAAGGATTCTTAACCTAGGGTCCCCAAACTAATTTTTAAAAATAGTTTGATAACTCTATTTCAGTATAACTGGTGTTCTTTGTAATACTACATACATGTAAAAACATTGCTCTGGAAGGGAGTCCAGAGATTTCACCAGACTGCCAAGAAGGTCCGTGGCACATAAAAGGTTAAGCACCCCAATTCAACACCCGTATTTTACAGATGGGCAAAGTGAGTACCAGAGAGAGGGAGTGAGTGACCCAAGGTACCATTGTTAGATTAGGAACCCAGCTGGGTTTCCTGGGCACCCAGCTGCTTGCCTCTCAGGCTCTCTCTTTCGACACATTTTCGCTGCCACCCGCAGTGGCCCTCCTCCTCATCTCCCCATGGTCCAGCGCCCCAGCAGCGTTGAGCTTTTGCTATCCCTTCAGCGGGGGAAGGGCAGGAGGTGAAGGAGCGGAGTGGGGAAAGGCTCTGTGAGTGACCCAGAACGGAAAGACTCCAGTCTGGGTCCTAATGCGGGTGGCGTCTCCTTTGACAGGCAACGTTTGGGGACAACAGCGGAGACAAGAGATAAGGTAACATACCAGAGCAGATTTGGGACGCTCACATAGATACCTCCCACTCCCAACAGGAAACTGGGAGCTATTTAAGAGACCCTATCGATTACTTTATCTTTCTCTGTAGAAAGCCTCTTGCGGAAAGACAAAAGATGTTACTCTCCAGTGATAGGAGCCGACCGAGCACAAAAATACAAACGGCATATGAGCGAGAGACACCCAATGAAAGCCTCCAAACCAGAAAAAGTGCAGATTTATACCGACGTGGACCTAAAGCACAGACCCGTTTAGAGAGTGCACTTTTATTACATGTGCCCGTGGTGCCGTACGCACAATTCATGTGCCTGGCTGTGGCAGAGTTCAGACTTGGTTGGCGCGTGTCTTTGTTTTGGTTAAATGGTACGGGATGCGTATTGCTCCATTTTCCTGCTTCTCTCTTGTTTCAACTGAATGTTGTTGTTGGTATCATTCTTTTTGTTTTTGTTATCGTTTCACTTCTCTCCCTTCGTTCATTTCCCATCTCTAAGTTGTCCATAACTAGCGAACAGAGAGAAGCATGCCCTGCTCAGAGTCGCACCTAGCAGATACAAAGTAGAGAGAGAAATAGGCGACAGCGGGTCAGAATGCCCCGAACTGTTGAAGGTCTCGTCTGGGCTGCTGCGGTGCCCCATGGACTAGGGGGGGGTCCAGCCCCGCGGACTCAACTGAAAAGAAGAGAGAGTTGAAGTCTCAGGCTCCGGGGCCCGCTGCAGGCGTGGCAGGACGAATCCCAAGGCTCCCACCTAATTATCTGCCCTGGGAAGCAGCCAACTAGACCTGCAGGGCTGCTGAAAAATTCACAGTCCTGTCTTGGAGAAAAGTTTGGGCTGCCTGGAAGTTGCGGAGAACTCCCGCTTCCCAAGACCCCTCGCTTTACCCCGGCTAGGTAGATGTGTTCTAGAAAATAATAATAATAATAATAATAATCAAGATACGCATGTATGTGTATGATTATACAAACACACTTCTACCCCCCTTCTACCACTCCTCTGGACTCTTTTCGGTTCTGCCTTGAGGATCGCTTTATTTTTCCACGTGACCTCCAGGAAAATCGACTCTGAGCGCCGGCAAGCTCTCTGCTTTTCGGTTCCATTTTCATTAGAGATCGTTCTCCTTTTCTTGGTCCAGACCTGTGACCTTAAGTTGGTTCCACTTATTAAAGGGTTGTCGGTTTTTTCTTTTTCCAGCAACTACCTTTCCAGTAACAAAGCCAAGTCGGAGAAGAAATGAACGCGACGTGCAAACTGTCTGTTTGGCAGAAGGTTGTGGGGTCTAGGCTCTTCAGCAGCCCGGAGAGAAGTGAAGGAGATCGACTTCAAAGTCCGAGAACCGGAGACCTCTTGGCACCCTCTGCCCCGTAACCCGGACAGAGGCTTTAGTTGGAGCCCCAGCCCCAGGAGAAGAAAGCTCAGCGGTGGGGAAATTACACTATGGGGTTATTATATAATATATTATAGGATCTTCAGATTTAAAGCTGGAAGGGACCTTGAAATATTGATATATTATAACGCATGCATTTTAATATACATAATGAAATAATAAAGAGCGTACGATCTTCCACGAAGGCTCTTCTTGAGGTGAGGCTGACCACGTACTCCAAAGTTCAGCCAGTGGAGCACAGCTCTGGCAGGTCCAACCGGACTGGAAGGGCTGAGGACGATCGACCAAACTGGCTAGAAGTGAAAAGCCTCACCAGGAAAAAAGGTCGCCATGAAACCATCTACTAAGATGTGGGAGGCCGAGATCCTGCTGAGGAGGAGAGAAAATGCATGCCGATGAAATCGCAGGCCCTTTGAAGCACTTGCATATATCAATATATACTATAATACACATATTTGACGTATTAATATATACAGAGTGTCCCGAAAGTCTTGGTGCAGTTTCAAGGTATTAGAGTTCTTAAAACTGCATCAAAACTTTTGGGACACCTTGGATCTATTATGTGCATATATTATAGTATATGTAATATGTAATATATACTATGACAGTATAAGCTATCATAAATTTTATATATATTTTTATATAATTATAAAATATATTTATATTATATTGTCATATACCCTACGAGATGCAGCGAGACTGAGTGGATAGAGAACGGGCCTTGGTGTCAAGAAGGCCTAGGTTCAAGTCCTGACTCTGACAGGAATAGGTCGGATGACTCTCAAACTTCTTAATGACTCCCAATTAAACTCTAAGTTAGTTACAGATGAGTTGTTCATCTTCACTGGTTGGAGGGACTTTCCACACTGATGAAATCACAAGTCTGTACTACAACTCCCCCCAAATTATAAGATGTTATGAAATAATAACAATTTACATATATGGATAGTATGCATCCACAATATGCTTTAAATCCATTATTTCATTCCATCCTCACAACAGTCCTGTGAAGATAGCAAGGCAAAAATTCATATTTACATATATGGAGAGGGAGAGAGAGATGTGTATGTGTGTGTGCGTGTGTGTGTATCACAGAGGCAGATCTGTGGAGAGAGTCTCAAAAGTCTCATCGCAGTTTAAAGCTTTTTTTTAAAAAAAAGGTGTGTATCTATGGCTATATTATGGCATGCACTTATATATTTCTCCCTTCTGGATCCATTTCATCAATGTAGGGAATTCCCAGTGTGAAAATTCCCTTTCTCGATGTAGATCTGCAATTCATCCAATCAGTGGGTAGGAGGCTGACCTCAGGGTCAGAAATAATAACAGTAGCTCCAACTTACATTGGCTTTAAGGTTTACAAAATGCTTTCTATACAATATCTCGTGGGATCTTCGCATCAATCGTGTGAACCACATCTCATACTCATTTTACAAATGAGGAAAATACGATTCAGAGAATCTGAAGTGATTTGACCAAGGTCACACAAAGAATTACTCAAGTGTAATTAATCCTGCGGCGTCAGAAAGCCTGGATCCCTGTCTCCATTTCAAGCATAGTGCTGTCTCCTCTACCGGCAGGTGGATGCTGGAAGCTTGGGCGAAGACGAAGGAAGGACTTGAAGAATCGAAGAAGAAGACTCACTCCTTTGAGCCAGAGAGCACACCAGAATACACCAACGAAACCCCAATGCCTCCTCCCTTGGCTCTGGGGGTAAAGGGCGGGGGCGGATGGAGAGAAATAAGGAAATATGCTGAGCACTGACTCGATACAAATCACCTTCTCATTTTGGCGTGCTGTGGCAAAAGTTAACAGGATTTGGAGTTAGCGTTCCTGGCTCGGACTGGGGCTGTGCCATTAACAAGCTAATTAGTGGATGTCACTTCTCAAATGGGAATAATAATCCCTTCACAACAAATTTCAGCAGGCTGTTTGTGAGGATTAAAATAAGTATAAAGCACTTTGTAAAACATGAGGTACTATTTGGCGACAGTTATTATTGGAGGCAGCGCACCGAAGTAAAAACTCTCATTTGAGCTGTAGAGAGAAGACAGAGGTTCGAATCCCACCAATCAGACTGAGTCCTCGGAGGATTCACTTCCCATCTACGGAATGATCTCTAAGAGCCCTCTGAGTTCTAACATTCTACAACTCCAAAGCTTTTACTATGTTAGTCATAATATCTGACATTTACATAACGCTTTAACATGTGTAAAACACTTCACGAGCATTACTTTCTTGAGTTTCACAATAAACCGATGACGTTGGTATTACAGGTATTACACTTATTTTTACAGATGAAGAAACTGAGGCTCAGTGCTGAAGTGGCTGGCCCATGGTCATACATTTAGTGTCATAAACAAAATTCCAATTCAAGTCTTTCTGATTCCAAGTGCCCAGGGCTCTCTATTCATTAAGTCACATTTATCCAAGTTCCACTAAAGGCATGTCACTTAGACAGCAGAGTCTGAGCCCTTACATTCAGGTAGAACTCAGCAATTACATGTTTCACTTGTTCATTCACTCAACAAACATTTCAGCAGAAAAACTGGAAAAAAATTCTAAACATTTCTTTAGGGGTTCCTCTGTGCAAGGCACTGTCCTGGACGCTGAGTATTCAAAGACACTCCTCCCCCAAAATAGTCTCTCCTTTCGTGGAATTTACGTTCTATTAAGGGGTGCAACGTATACACAGGTAAGTCAATACCAGATTGTTTCAGGAAGGAAAAAGGATTGACCGCGAAAATGACGAAAGGCTTCTTGCTGGTGCGGCACCTGATCTGTGCCTTGGAGAAGGCAAACTAAGGATTCTGAGAGAAAGTGAGGGGTGTGTGTATTCCGAGCTTGGGAAACAGCTTGGACAAAGGAACAGAGTCTGAGATGCCTTCTCTTAAGCACAGTGCTGGGTTCCCGGGGAAACACAAAGTTTAGATAAGCAACAAGACGTGCTCAGTGTAGAAGGGGTGTGAATTCAAACGCAGACGGCTACAACACACACCATTACACAACAAATGCATGACTGTCACCGATAATAGCGTCTTCACTTGTCTTTGAAAATTTAAAAAAAAAGGTTAAAAAAACAAACTATGAGAGAAGGCTAAAGGGATCAGAGCTGATCTCTATCTGTATTCACTCCGTTCAGGAAACATTCATAAAGCGCTTTCTGTGTACAGAATCTTAAACTAGGCTGAGGGAAAGATGTAACGGGTAGAAAAGACTCCCTTTTCTCAAAGAGTTTCCAGGCTACTTGGGGAAGTACCGGATCTGTCGGATAGTTTCATACAAGAAGTGCATTAGGGAGACATGAAACTAAATGCTACGTGAGGTCTGAAGTGGGGAAAAAGTTGGAACAATAAATGTGTCCCTTGGTTTCCCCAGTCTCTCAGGGCTGCCTTGATCCATCTCCGGCATACTGAAGATACAGGACCTGCCCCAAGCCTCCAAGCACACCCTGCTCAAGCTGATCTGAACTCTGAGTCTCTGGGTGTCCCTGAAGTCTAGGAGGCAAAACGGTGAGCGTGAGGCCTGAAACAGAGATAGGAATCGCTAATGCTCATCCGACGTCCTGAAGTTTGTGGGAAGCAATCCCAGTTGTGCCCCCCTTCCTCTCTTTTGAATCTTTTCATGTTTTCAGCTATAAGAAAGGGGTGGGGTGAGGTGAGTCCAGAGAATTCAGAGCTGGAAGGAAATCTTAGAGAACATCCAATCCCACCCTCTCCTTTTATCCTTGTGCAAAGTGAGGACCAGTAAGGAAAAGAGATTTGCTGTTCAGGGCACTTCGCAGTACGTGAAATCCTCGCCCTAGATTTCATTCCAAGTAAATATGTTCACAGAATGGGAACTTCACCATAATGTATACAGCCCCTTAGCTTGGGACAGTATTATACTTTTCAAGCCCATTCTCCACACCCTGGGAAAAAAAATCCCTGCTCCAAAACCAATGCACATATATTCCCTAAGAACAGTAACTCTTCTTGGACCTAGAATGTCTTTTCATCTCTAAATACTTGGATCCTAAGATGCCCCAAGGTTTCCAGCCCTGACCTCCAGTGCTGGCCTATGTCTTCGCCAGGTCACAAAGTCTACAACCTGATTTGAATAGAAGGGGCGGAGAACAAAAATAAAAGGGTGGGGGGTGTGAAGGTATAGACATATGTCTGGAAATTTCCACTATTGCTCCTCACAGAAAGCCCCATATTTTTTGGCACAAGAGTAACAATAAATAAATAAAATAAATAAAATAAAAATAATTCACATTTATAAAATCTTCAAGGTTTAAAAAGTTGGGTAATGATAATGACTAGCATATATAGCACCTACTATGCTATATGCTTTACATATATTATTTCATTTGATTCTCACAACAACTGTGGGAAGTAGGTGCTATTGTTGTCCCCATTTTACAGCTAAGGAAACTGAGGCAAACAGATGGTAAGTGACTTGTCCAGAGTCTCACACTAATAAACATTTGAAGCCAGAGTTGACCTCAGGTCCTCTAGACTCTAGGCCCAAGACTCCATCCACTGAATGGCTCTTTCTACCTGGTTCTTCACAGTGAGTACGATGCACGGTGAATAAGCATAACTAGGGAAATGATAGATGTAATGAACTTTAAAAAAAACAATAAAATTGAATGGAATACTCTGTAATTATACTGACCAATCTTGTCCCTGAAGAAAGGTGAGGAAAACTACCTCTCACCTTTCCTCAGATAGATGGAAGACTAGATGTGGAATGTTGCATACATCAAAGAAGGTAGATGTGCTGGGTTGACTATGCTTTACTGTTCCCCCCCCCCTTTATTATAAGAGAAGACACATGGAGGTGAAAGACAGATATATCAGGAAATGCCTGTGAAATAGAAATAAAAGACTAATAAAAAATTTTTTAAATCCTGTTATGATACTTTTAATATTCCTATTTTATGGATGAGAAATTTGAAGTTTAAGTGAAATTACTTACCCAGGGCCATATGGGCCATCTTAGTCAAAGAATTTCAGGGCTAGAAAGCACCTTAGAGATTCTTTAACTGAACCCCCTTGCTTTGCAGTTAAGAAACTAGAGAAAAGTGGCTTGCCCAAAGTTATACTTTTAAACCCTAACGCAGTTGATAAATGTCAGCAAAAGTATTGCTACTACACTGACAGTGATGACGGATGTTGTTGTTGTCACAGTAGT